AACCATCTCTGAAGTGTGTGTGAGGAATGGAGATGTTGGGTAGCTGTGCTGTCCCTGCTATGGTTCTTAGGTAGTTTGGAGCTGCATTAAGGTAGTCATCCCATTTCATCCTGTCACACTGCACACTCTCCAACATTTCTCTGGTGGAAATAAAAGGCAAAGGGACCCCTGACCGTTAGGTCCAGTCGTGGACGACTCTGGGGTTGCGCGCTCATCTCGCTCTTTAGGCTGAGGGAGCCGGCGTTTGTCTGCAGACAGCTTCCGGGTCATGTGGCCAGCATGACTAAGCCGCTTCTGGCGAACCAGAGCAGTGCATGAAAATGCTGTTTTCCTTTCCGCCGGAGCGGTACCTATTTATCTACTTGCACTTTGACGTGCTTTCGAACTGCTAGGTGGGCAGGAGCAGGGACCGAACAACGGGCGCTCACCCCATTGCGGGGATTTGAACTGCCAACCTTCTGATCGGCAAGCCCTAGGCTCTGTGGTTTAGACCACAGCACCACCCGCGTCTCTTTTTCTGGTGGAAATAGGGACGTCCTATTCAATAATAACAACAAAAATTTTATTATTTATGTCCTGCCCATCTGACTGGGTTGCCCCAGCCACTCTGGGTGACTTCCAACATATATAAAAACATGATAAAACAGTTAACATTAAAAAAAACTTCCCTATACAGGGATGCCTTCAAGTGTCTTTGAAAGGTTGTATCTCCTTGGCTCGGGGGTCGCATAACTCCATATCCTCCAACATTTCTCTGATGAAAGTTAGGGATGTTCTAAGGAAAAGCAAGACATTCCTCCAGAAACCGGGATCATTTCTGTAAATCCAGGACTGTCCCTGGAAAACAGGGACACTTGGAGGGTCTGAGACTACAGTGCAGCTATCAGGATTCATCCACCGAGCTGCTTATTTATTTAAACCTCAAGGCTGGCCTTGCCTTGCCATGGAATGCTTTGCCACAGTCTATGTCAGAGTGCTTGCCACTTTCTTGCTTCAGTCAGCAGTCTCACATAGTATGTGAGCATCAACTGAAAATGGGCAGCTGCCATTTTAATTTTTTACTCTAGGCACAATAAACAGCCAGGCCTACACAGCATTAAGTGACTTGGTTGGGGATTGGGCACTTGTGCGAGTCTGGAATGCTGGATTTGTCTTCTGAATGCTCCTGTGACTGAATGCTCCAGATGGTGTCTTTCCTATCCATGAGGGCTGTGGTTGATGAAGACTTTGTGGTTGTCAGAGCTGAGCCATGGACACCGGTTTGAAGTCAGCCAGGAGTCTCCACTGAAGAACAGTCAGGCTCATAAGGCAAATCTGGAGTCAAAACCAAAGAAGCATCAGAGAAGCAACCAGGAAGGAGGATTGGAGAACAAGACAGGAGTCGGAAACATGAAGGCATGCCAGAGCTCAGGTAGACCGTGTTCCTCAAGCAACAGGCAGGAAGCCCTCTTCTGGCACAAGAGAAGCTAATGACCCACAAGAGTTGGATGGACGATTCTTCACTTGGGAGCTGCAGTGATGCAGTTCACCTCATGGGTCAGTGGCCAGCAGATCCTTTCTTCCACCTCTTGTGTATAAGCCTGCTTTAGAACTCAGTTTCTGAGACCCTTCCCCTTGTTCTCCCCACTCCAGACCAAAGTTCAGACTTGGCAGGGATGAGAGGAAGGACCCTTTCTTACAGTGGCCTGCAGATTATGGAATGCTTTTCCCAGAGAGGTTCAGCCAGCATCTTCCTTGCTGGTTTTTAAGCCAGCATTGTGAACTCTATTATCTCCCCAGGTATCTTTTGATAATTTCCCCTCCAATGTTTCTTTGCTGTGCTGTTTTAATGGTGGCATTTATTTCGTTTATGAATCACTTCCCATGTGGCATCATTTTGAGCGTCTGCGCATGCGTGAGCGGTGAAACCCGGAAGTAACCCTTTCCGGTCCTTCCGGGTTGCCGCGGGACGCAACCTGAAAAGATTTAACCTGAAGCAAACGTAACAAGAGGTATGACTGTACCAGCTCAGATGAAGGTTTTAGATGGTTTGTTGAAAGACTAGCATGAAAAAGATAATAGAGCGGGCAGCATTATTGTGCAATTATACTTCCTAATGCCTTGTGCTGCTGTTATCGTCATGGTGTCAGAAGCGGTTTAGTCCTGCTGGCCACATAACCCCAAAAGCTGTCTGTGGACAAACGCCAGCCGGTTCCCTCTGCCTGAAAGTGAGATGAGTGTCGCAACCCCATGGTTGCCTTTGACTGGACTTAACCATCCAGGTGTCCTTATTTCTTAAGATATTGCATGCTGTCTTAAGAAAGCATTTCCACAATGAAACTGGGACATAAATTTTAATATAAACAAACAAAAATCAATTTGTTTGAGCTAGCCCTCCCCAGGTAGACAAGGGCACAGGAGTCTGAACGCCGCAGCCATATCTGCCTGTCTCCGATGAGCTTGGTGGTAGCGAATCTCTCTGTGGCATTCCATCAGGCGGTGACTTCTTGGCAGGATCCAAGTTGATTTCCAGGCAAGAAATAATTCCACCTATAAATCATAACTTATCTCTGCATCCGAAGCAGGGAGAGTGCTCTCGCTCGCTTGCTCTCTGACGTTTGTCAAAGAGCTGGGCACTTACAAAAAAACAACAACAGCAAGAACTCTGCTTTGAGCAAAAAAATTCTGTAGGAACGGAATTTCGTTAGCCCTTTGCACACACTGAAAATTTATGTGAACTGAAATAGATGGAGGGGGAGAGAGAGATTGCACATTCTGCCCCTGCCCTGGCTTCCCATGCATTTATCATAAGAACACCAGGAGAGCCTGCTGGATCATGCCCATCTAGACCAGCATCCTGTTCACACAGTGGCGGACTAGATGCCTGTGGGGAAACCGCAAACATGACCTGAGCATAAGACCAACTCTCCCCCATTGCAGCTGATATTCAGAAACATTGATGTCTCTGATCATGAAGGCAGAGCATGACCACTGTGGTTAGTAGCCTCTGATATCCCTGTCCTCCCTTAATTTGTCTAATTCACCCTTTCTCTACAAGCTTGGCGCATCAGGGAAATGTTAGGGAACGGCTTCAAGTTACAATCAAGGAGATTCTGACAAAACATCAGGAATAACTTTCTGATGGCAAGAGCTGTTCAACCGTGGAATGGACTCCCTTGGAAGTTGGTGGACTCTCATTCCTTGGAAATTTTTGAGTAGAGGTTGGATAGCCTTATATCATGGATGCTTCAGTTGAGATTCCTGCACTTCAGGGAGTTGGACTAGCCTTGGGATCCCTTCCAACTTTACAATTCTATGATTCTCTCTTTCTTCTTTATTATCCCCTCCCTTCCTTCAAGTCACCCTTTAAGACACACTGTTTTAACACAGTCATCGGTTCCACCCACTCAGCTGAATCATTCGGTTGAATCATCAGAACCCATCTCCTCCATCGGCATCTTCCCGTGGTTGACTCATCTTTTGCTTGTGGCACCTCTGGGGTGACCTGATGGGTTGGAGGTCAGCGGATGTTCCCGGCCTGCTACAAAGGGGATGGCTGGATGAGAAAGGAAGAGTCATTTGGCCCGTTCCCAAAGAGTGCATATAATCGCTGTGATGTGCCGGGCTCAAATGCTCACTATGAAAACAGCCCACATTAATCTGATTTATTGGCCTCTTCTCGATACCATCCCTTTATTTTTAAGCCTTTTATTTCTGGGGAGTGGTGGAGAGCAGCGTGTTGTGCTCCCCAGGAGGAGAAGGAGGCGAGAGAGCTGGATAAAGTGTGGTGATTAATTTTCCCCATGCCTCGGTAGCTCACGGTAAGCCGCCCAGGTAAATCACTCCTCCTCCCAAGATGCAGAAGGGCGCTGCTCATCCCCCACAGGAGGAGTAAACTTAAACAAGATCTATGACTGAAGCCAAGGAAGTGGCACGCTGGCGGCTGCGGGGAGAGCAGGACTTTGCAGGCCTGGCTGTTGCTGGAGTCTAGGCAATTTGCTGCATCTTCTACCTCCTTGCTCTCTGTGTGGTCATCGTCTTTGTTTGCAGGAACAAGAAAGATCAAGGAACTTATATAGGCTCTTTGTCGATGTAATCATCTGGCTTTTTAATCAATTAATAGATTGGGTTTTAAATAGATTTGTGCAACACTGGCTTTGAGCTTTCCCTTTTGTGTGTGTGTATGTGTCCTTTGGAAATGTAATAAGCAAGACAATTCCTCCAAGAAAGAAAAGTGGGAGGTGTCTAAAGAAACCGGTGTGGCTGCATAAGGAGCTTACAGTTGAGATGAGATTTAAGAAGGGCATGTATAGAAAAGGGAAGAAAGGGGGAATCATGAAGAAAGAGTAGCCAAGAGTAGCCAACAATTGCAGGGAGAAGGTCAGGTGGGCCAAAGCTCAGAATGAGCTCAGGCTTGCAAGAGAGGTTAAGAATAAATTTAAAAGGTATCTTCGGCTATGTTCAAAGCAAGAGGAAGAACAGTCAAGTAGCATTTCCTCTGCAAGGAGAAGACAGAGAAATGCTATTGGGTGACAGACAGAAGGCAGAACTGCTCAACACCTACTTTGACTTTGTCTTCACCCAAAAGTGTCCAACCTGGTGTCCAACCTGGTGTCCAACCTGGTGATGACAGCATAAATGATGCAAGGAGAGAGCTGCAGCCTACTATAGGAAAAGAGGTGGTAAGGGAACACCTAGCTACTTTAAATGAATTCAAATCTCCAGGGCCTGATGAGCTGCACCCAAAATAGATTGTGGATGTAATCTCAGAGCCTCTGTCTATGTTCATCAAGAATTCTTGGAGAACAGGTGAGATCTCTGAAGACTTGAGGCAGGCAAATTTTGTCCCCATCTTCAAAAAAGGGAGAAAAAGAAGAGCCAGCTAACTACCAACCAGACAGCTTGACATCAATACCAGGAAAGGTCCTAGAACAGATAATTAAATGGTCTGTCTGTGAACACTTAGAAAAGGATGCTATTCTGCCTTGGTCAGACCATACCTGGAGTTCTGTGTCCAGTTCTGGGTGCCACAATTTAAGAAGGATATTGACAAGCTAGAATGTGCACAGAGGACCTTGAGCTTGTTTGGAGGTTCTAGCAGGGGAGCGCAGCTATCGTATACCCTTGACCGAAGAACGGTACACTCCTTCTATCTGGGATGGTTGTCCTCTTCCACCGAGCGCGCAGCTTTGGGAGGGACGCACATGGAGCGGTGAGGGAGGAAGGGGACACCCGCCTAGCCAGCCAGATCAGCCGAATCAACCCTGGCGATCAATGGGGTGACAGATGTCGCAGCCAGATCGCCCTCACATCCTGGGGTTCTGTGTCCAGTTCTGGGTGCCACAGTTTAAGAAGGATATTGACAAGCTAGAATGTGCACAGAGGAGAGGGACCAAGGTGACCCAGGGTCTGGTTCACCAAGCCTTATGAGGAATGGTTGAGGGAGCTGGTTATGTTTAGCTTGGAGGAGAGGAGACTGAGAGGAGATATGATGGCCATCTTCAAATATCTAAAGGGCAGTCGCATGGAGGATGGAGCAAGCTTGTTTTCTTCTACTCTGGCGAGTAGGACCTGAACCAAGTTGCAATAAATTAGATTCTGACTAAGCATCAGGAAGAACTTTCTGATAGTAAGAGCTGTTTGAGAGTGGAACAGACTCCTTCAGCGGGTAGGGGGTGGACTCTCCTTCTTTGGAGTTTTTGAAGCAGAGGTTGGATGGCCATCTGTCATGGATGCTTCAGTTGAGATTCCTGCATTGCAGAGGGTTGAACTTGATGACCCTCAGAATCTGTTTCAACTCCACAATTCTATGGTTCTATATGAGCTACCATTCATAGCTGAGAGCGGCACTACTTTTAATGTACACTTTTCATCAAAATGGAGAACAGGGTGCTTTCCTTATTACAGGAGCTTATACCAGTCAAACTAGATTTAGGGGTGTGTGTGAAATTAATCAACTGCGAGGCCCTCCAGGATTGTGAAAACTCTGGGTTAAAAGACGATATTGGCATGGATTTTTTCCTGAGCAACTGAACTTCAGTTGCCTGCAGGACTAGCAAAGGCAGTGTGGTGGTTTCACCCTGAAATTCAAACTATTCTGAAAATGTGATCTGTGGTTCAATTGAGACCTCGCTCACCTCGGTTTCTCACTTCCTGTCTCTCTCTCTCTCTGACCATAGAATGTTTCTTATAAAATAATATTCAACTATGATCTTATTTTGCATTCTTCTGATGAGCTCTCACCATTCTGCCACATATTATTTAGTTTATTTATATACTTACTTGTTAGATTTATATCCTGCTCTTCCTACCAAAAGATCCTAGGACTCCTGCGAATGCTAGCATTCCCAATAAACAAGTCATGACCCTAAAGATGGTAGTCACTGTGGTGTATAAGAAATTTGCCTTGAAGGGGGAAGATGTTCACACACATGCATGTCCATGCGCGCACACAAAATACCCCTCCTCATACACCACCACCACTTATCAAAATGGATGACCTTTCAGAAGTGGCGATATTACTGCTATTTAATTGATACTGGCACTACTTGGTTCATTGTTTATTTGCACCCCATTTTGTGTTCACAGAGGATACAAAGCATACAAACCTGTTTAATAACATGACCATAAATGCACTTGAAACTTGCCTCCTCCTCTTCCGATTTCTGACCTCATCCTTTTGATGTATGAGAGCAAATTTGTTGCTGCTATGCAGTCACATGCAGGCTGAGCTGAAATGTGATCCAGTTTGCAGGCTGTGAAATTGGGAGTTGGGGCACTGTAGACATTTTCAGGAGTGGGTATGCACAAGAGCAGTGGCACTTCTCCTGGCTGTTAGCCACCATTTTTCTTCTTCTCCCAGAATGCCCTGTGACAATTACATATCGTCACATAGCATCATCATTCCAGGGAAATTTCTGAAAACTGTCACGGCTAAAAATTGGCTGCTGTTTCTTTAATGCCAAAAGAACAAAGTCAGCATGAGTCAGAGGCCTACAATGACTCATGCAACCTTTCACCAAATTGTACCTGTATATATAGAGTGGTCAATGTTAGTGTTGGGTGTGGGTTGGTTGGATTATTGAAAGCTGGTTTCGTTTGGTGTGTATAAAAGTTGTCGGTCGTGGTTGGAGAAGAAGACTTTTTAATAATAAAAGCAGCAGTACTCTGCAAGAGTACTCTTTCTCAAAGACTCTTTTGTGCCAACTAAGGTCTGAAGACTAGGCAAAGGAGTAAAAAGGAGGTCAGAACCTTTTCTTTTTCAAACACTGACAAAAACTGCCCCACTCGTCCTGAACATGCAAAAGAGGCAAGGTAGCTCACTCCCTCTTTCACCCACCAACTCTCTTCAATTCAGCCAAAATATATTGGCGAAGATTCTTTGACCCAGCCCTACCTTGGGACTGGGATGGGTTCCCACCCATCTGATGCTGGAGAATGACCACCTGGCATCCAGGTATCTGAAAGGCTGAACCAACTTATGAGTTGTGGGGCACTTATACATCACTCAAAAGAAAGAGAGGATGAAATATGGTACAGATTTTCATAAAAAATGTGCATGTGCTGATTGATATGGAAAGCTGCAAATTTAGGCATCATTGCTGTAATTTACATACAAATGGGGTCCCCTGGGGGAAGCTGTGTCCATGAGACCCATGTGCTTCTTGTGCAGATGTTAACAACTGATCAGCAAATGTCTTGCTACTCTCCCTTAAGAGCATAAGAAGGACCAGCCCACTGGCCCATCAAGTCCAGCATCCTGTTCTCACAGTGGCCACCAGATGCCACAAGCAGGAGCCAAGCACAAGAGCACTCTTCTCTTCTGTGGTTGTCAGCAACTGATATTCAAGAGCATTACTACCTCCAACCATGGAGGAAGGGAATAATCATCATGGTTAGTAGCCGGGGTGCCAGTTTGTAGGGGCTGAGGTGACTTCAGCCCCCCACGCCATGTAGTTGATAGGGCTGAGCTCCTCCCCCCCAAAGTTGATGGGCAGTTGCTGCCACTGCTGGCACAAGGCATACCAGGCTGTCCCCACTGTTAAGCCACTGCCGTGAGGCCTGCCAGACTAGCGCTGGCACCACAAGGATTGCCAGACTGCCGGCAGGCCTGCTAGGCCACCAACGCCGATGTACTTCTGGAAGTGGCTTGTGGTGGTTTCACAAGCCAGGAATGCAGAGGCTGCTCCTCCTTTTCCTTTTCTGGCCATGCAGGGAAAAGCTCTCAGCCCATGGCCATGGCAGGAGGAGAAGGAGGTGGAGGAGCTGCTGGCCATGGAAGCTGAGCTGATGTAACATCATGACATTGTGTGTGATGCACGGATGTGCATCGTGGCTTTGTATTGTTGTGTGTGACGTCAGCCACCCCATCTCCTATCTGAGTTGGCGCGCCTAGTTAGGAGCTATTGATAGCCTCCATTAATTTGCCTGATCCTCTTTTAAAGGCAACTTGGTGGCCATTACTTCCACTTGTGGGAATGAGTCCCATACACACTATATGGAGGAATACTTTCTATTGTTTGTCCTGGATATCTGTGAGTTCCAGTGTTATGGGCAAGGGAGAAGAACGTTTCTCTGTCCATTTTCAGTATGCATAAGCTCTTCGTCTTCTTTAGTGATCCCTCGTAACCGAGTAAGATTGTCTTCCATAAACATGGTTTTAACAGGGAGTCCGTAAGTGACTATGGAGGCCATTTCTGGATCCACATGTCCTTCCACAGTGGGGACGTAGGTTTCCGAGCGATCACAGTGAGGGTTTGCCAAGCGTGCCTTCCTCGTTTCTCCCTTCCACGTTTCTCCCTTACATCCTGAGTTGGAGTGTTTTCAAAGCCCATGACACCTTTGGTAATGGGGGTTCTCCAATTGGAGCGCTTGCAGGCCAATGTTTCCCAGTTGTCGGTTATACTACATTTTTTTAGATTTGCCTTGAGAGAGTCTTTAAACCTCTTTTGTTGACCACCAGCATTACGCTTTCCATTTTTAAGTTCAGAATAGAGTAGTTGCTTTGGAAGACGATAATCAGACATCCGCACTACATGACCAGTTCAACAAAGTTGTTGTTGAAGAATCATTGCTTCAACACTGGTGATCTTTGCATAAGTATATACATCTCTGTCATGCTTCCTCTTACTTGCCCTTTCTCTAAACCAAAAACCCCCAGATGCTGCAACCTTTCTCACTGGGAGGGGGGGTTGCTCCACCCCCTTGATAATTTGTTTGACCCCTTTCCCCTTCTTTATCTGTAAACTCAACTTGGGCCATTCAGCTGTTCAGAGGACTGCCTTTTGCAAAACATGGCACATGGCCACCCTACCAGCTCATAACATTTTTTTGCCTGCATTGCCTACATGAAAGAGCACATTAGTGTGCTGTCTTGGGCCAGGGCGTGCAAGCCTCCACAAAGCAGGTGGGAGATCAGAGGTCTCTAAGACGGTGCCCTTCGAGACCTAACATTTTGGGGGCCATTGAGACGGCATGTTTTACAGCTTCTCACGGCAAGATTGGCGCTTGGCTTTGAGGTGACAAAACCCTCCGACGTGTGCGAGGGAGCTAATTTTAGCTCTTTGTTCTCGCTTTTCGCTTTTTCAAAAACCCGGCCTATCCGGCTGCATTCACCGGGGCCTTCGATGAAAGTGTGGATTTGTCTGGCATTTTGTGTTTAATCCCAAATCTGTCAAGGCTTGTTAAATTTGATGGGGCCTGAAAGGTCTGGTGTTAAGCAAATACACAGTGACCAGAGCCTTTGATGAGAATCACACTGAACTGTAATCCTGTGGTAATGGCTTTTGCCGTAAGCCTGCAAGGCCTCAGGATAAATAGGCGGAGGGGAGGGGGGAGGCTGGGAACCTGAACGACTCTTGCCTGTTGGGCAAAAGTGTGGACATCACAGCTTCATCTCTGGCTCCCCGTCCCCATGGTTTTAAAAAGTGACAGAATTCGCACTCCCCCCTGGCCCCCCTGCCCCCTGCGAAAGACTGACACACTCCTGTTCTGACCCTTCTAGTGACACCTGCCACTTCTGACTTTCTATCTTTGGAAAGCAGGGGAGCGGAGCCCTTTCTGTGGCTGGAGGAACCTGAGTGATCACCCTGGGATAGCCGAGGGCATGGAATGAATTAAGGAACCAAAATGCACCATTCTGTCTTAGCTGAGGTTCACCCCTTTATCTGGAAAGGAAGAGAGAGAGAGAGGGGGAGAGAGAGAGAGACAGTGAGAGTCAGGTCACGCTTCTAAACAGCTAAAACTGACTGCACCTGAAAATTGCGTCCTGGGAAAATTCAGAAGCCAGGTAAGGAACTTGAGGCATAAATAAAT